TTACAACCCAGTATTGGGTTCCCTAAATCCCATCCCACGTGACATCTAGGTATTACTGTGCATGTGTGCAACTGTTTGACTTACTTCCTGCACACTGGCTAGTTCTGTACTTGAAGAAAAAGTGATTGACTTCCAGTTCATTGGGTCACCAAAAACTCCACTCCTGTTTTCTGCACTTGTACAAAGCAGGAGGCGACATTGACTCGTTGAACTGGAGGTTGTGAGAAGCTGATTTTCAGGACATTGGTGAGAGGGTGGGTGGGCATCAGCTGAGTGTCTGACACATGTGGAAACCCATCACCATGCTTAAGAGCATCCAAACCAAACTGAGAATTCTGTGCATCCCACCAACCTACACATGGAAATTTCAGAGACAAATTGTTGGAATGGAATGCACGTTCTCCCTCTAGAGGGATGCTTCCTGTTTACCTAAGTCTAGAAGGTATTAGGATGCCGCTTGACAAGAGCCAAGGCTTGGAGACCCCAGAGCCTACATTGGGGTAACTGCTGGAGTCTAATCAACTAAAACCGCATTGTTTGCCATTGAGAGCGATGTCTGACAAGCTTTCCTGCTGCTCGTCCAGCTAGGACCACTCTACCTCTTAGGGCTTTGGCTTGCAGGATTAACAGGAGCTGACCGAGTGGTATGATTCCCTGCCCCAGTGACTGATCTGCCCTTCTAAATCATACCGATGAGTCAGGCTGTCATCAGGAGTACCCTGGAATACTGTGGACCTGCCTGGCTCAGGAACCGGACTACCAAGACCGTCACAGAGTCAAGCTACTAGGAGACCCTGCTTACCTCCCCCCCCCCCCCCCCCCCAAGGAGGATACACATTATATGTGTTATAAGCAAACTCAAGCTGTAATGAATTGTCTTAATAATAATAAACCTTGCATTTGATATAGCCCCTTATCATGTTGTTGAGACGTCTCAAAGCGTTTCACAGAATTTACTGTTAAGCGGACTGACTATTTTGTGGGTGAAATGGAGCAGCCAATTACGCATAGCAGTGCCTGTAAACAGTCGTGGATTGAGTGACTGAAGTTTTTTTGAAAGGGGGGATTATTGCCCCCAGATCTGCCAGTCGACTAACAACTGGGTTCCTACTTACCGCTAGGTAAACAGAGGCGTGTGGCGTGAGGAAACTCGCCTAAAGGTTTCGCCCTGCCTGGGAATCGAACCCAGGTCTTCTAGCTTGTGAGGCGAGCATGCTGACCCTTACTCTCAGGGACATTATTATGAAGTATAATAATAATAATAATCCTTGCATTTGATATAGCGCTTTTCACGTCGGGAGGACGTCCCAAAGCGCTTCACAGAACACACTGTAAAGTGAATTGCCTGTATATTTGTGGGCGAACGCGGCAGCCAATTGCGCACAGCAATGTTCCACAAACAGTCGGAGATTAAAAATGACCAATTTAATTATTGTTTTTGGTTTTTGGAGGGATTATTATTAGGCTCTGTGTGGAGTAAGGAAACTTGCCCGAGGTTTCGCCCTCTGCCTGGAATTGAACTCAGGTCTCTCACTTGCAAAGCGAGTGCTCTAACCACTGAGCAACAGGACTCCACAATAATGACTGTCTTTGTTGGTGAACAACACTGCAAACCAGAGCAGACCAAACCTCCAAATATACCAGTTGATGGGAGCCTCATTCTATGGTCCTTGACACATACAGTGTTATCGTGGGTATAATCCAAGCAGCCTAGCTATCTGTATAAATGCTTCTTTCTGGCATTGGAACTATGTCTGACAAAGAGAAACATGATGTATATAAATGACAATTGCAACAACTCATAAAACACAATTTCTCTCCAAAACATAACTCGTAGTTAAAATGCATTGGAAGCGATCACATTAACTGGAAGAAATGAAAGAATGTGCCCATGTTTTCTGAAAGAAGGGAGGGACGCAGTGTTGTTTCAAGATTAAGGGTTGTGTTTCAAAATGTATGTCTTTGGTTGCATCTCATTGTAAGACTATGATATTTATTCCACAGGAGCGTTTCATAAATCATGCTGACATCCTGCATACATCTCATCAAACAGATAGGTGGGTGAAGAATAAACAAAATGCATATTTATGCAAATATACAATGTAAGTGCAACTGGATTCTCAAAGAAAGGATGCAGAAGCAGCAGAATCTAACAGTGGCTTTGGATCAGGGCTCCTACTGTGCTGTAAGCAATACTAGCATTTTCATTACAAATTCCTAGAGTTTTCTGGGTTTGACTTTTAGAAATCCCTAGAATATTTGCCAGTTTTCCCCCACATTTTCCTCTTTTATCAAAATAACGGTAGCAGACCCGCATTGTTCAGGCACAGCTCCCAGCCTCGGCTACTCGTACCATGTTAGTGGCCGATCATTGTATGAAGCAAAGAAAAAGTACAGAAAAAGAAAATCTGAGTTTGTTCTAAAAGAAAGGTTGGGATTGCATTACGAGTGTCATTGTTGCCTCTTGAATATCACCCATAATGTGGCTAATAAGCCCTGTTTCAGACTCTGCAAATGCTCCATTGAAAACTGTTGAAGTTGACCTGTTGATGGCTACGGCTACTCCATAAACAGAGGTTAACGGAAACCATCTCATGTATATCAAAGACTGTTTGGATTGACTCACATTTCGTCCATTTAACATCTTATTCCTGTGTTTGGTTAGTCTTTTTTGGGGTCAGTCGGGTGTCTTAAGCATGGTGATGGGTTTCTGTACGTGTCATGCCATTGATATCACTGGTTAATATCAACAGCTGTTGCCCTTCGCTGTACTCATGTATGTTTTGTAGTGAGGTGTGCACTAGTGATCACATTGGGAACGTGCATCGACTGCTCCTGGGCAGCTCCTGTCAGACAGTTACGTGTGGAATTGAGCTCATAGCCGCAGGAATTCCGTGGCCGTGTAAGGAACGGCACGAAAAGAAAAGGAAATATCGAACGTTGCAAATAATTTGCAAATGGGGCAAGAGTGGCCGAAAAAAAAAGATTAAAACTGTCGAGGATCAATTTAGCTGCCCCCAAGAACGGCAAGATTAGTATTTGATGCGTAATGAATCCACAAAATTAGGCTGTGCATTTTTACAAAGATTCTGAGAGTATGCTATCGTCTTGTACATATTGTCTAGTGCTGGATACTTTTTGCCCGGTAACAACTTTGATCTATATTTTGTGGGCATTTTGCCTACAAAATATACAGTCAATTCACTTTACAGTATATTCTGTGAAGCGCTTTGAGATGTCTCGAAGATGTGATAAGGCGCTAAGTCAAATGCAAAGGATTATTATTATTGTTATATATTTGACTCGATGTAGATTTTCTTATTTTTTATCGAGCGTACTATCATAAACATTTTAAATCTGTCGGAAGAAAAGATATTAATTCTCTATCACTTACTTGACTTGCCAGTGGAAGTTATGCTATAAAATTATTGTTTTGAGAACAAGCAATTATTACCTCAGGTTTACGGAAATATAATTATGGAAATTTACACCCGAGGCAATTGCTCAACTGTAACTGGATGCAAAGATGTTTAATTTTCTACAGAGACAAAACTCCTGAGTAAAACAGAGACATCAGCTTCCAGGAGGTAATATTTGCAGGGAAGATTATAAAACAAAAATTAATTATAAAAAATATTCAAAAGGAAAAACATGGTACAAATCCTCAGGAGTGTATTCTCTTGGCTATTTTTAACTATTTTTTTAAAAAAAAATGTATTGATTGGGAATGTAAACCCGGAACAATAGTTTAGGATGCAACACGACAATAGAACGTGCGAGGTGCGATTTTAGGACAGATTAGTTTTGTGCCACAGAGATGACTGGAACATGTTGTCAGGAACAGTAGTTGAGGCCAGGCATTGAACTGATTTACAAACTAACTTGAAGTTGTGATGGGAGGATGGGATGGTGATCTTTCTGGAGGGATGTAATTAGATCAGCCGAAGGGCCTTCTTCAGCTAACCTAATCTTATGTTTCCTGGCTAGGAGCCAGAGAAATTCTCTTTTCTTTTGAAATGGTGCCGCTGGTTCTTTAATGTCCACCTGAACACGTACAAATTATGGAAATGTGGAGGGGTTCTTTTAAGCAAAAGAAAGGATTGCTGATTGAAATAGCCCAGGTTTGTCAAGACGGCCTTGTAATTGGTAATGTGGAAGGTTAAAGAGGGCGTCAAGCCAAGAGAGTTGATTCAGGATTAATATTCCCTCTGTTCTGGTTCAGATTTACACTGTAATTTTTCAATGGCTTAGAACTAAGAGAACAAGGAGAAACAATGAAGTAAGGGGTATGCACGAAATTGAACTCGGTTGAAAGGAATACAAATGCTTGATTCTTCTTGTGATTTAATAAATTGCTGATAATTCGGCTCTCTCGCTCTGGCGTGTCTAAGCAACTCGTGAAAAAACCAATTTCTGCAAAGCATCTGCAATTGTGGTCTAAATGGAAATACTTTCAGAACGTTTGCTGGTTTTCATTTGTGCAAATCGTCTGGGCAGCAGTGAGATACAAGTATCTAATTTACTTTTAAAACCATTCGTTCTAATCGTAGTCAAAAGTGTTCATCTCCTGACCCATTTTTTGCGTTCGCATTAATAATTAAAGCTGACAGTATCCTCACAAATTGCATCCTCTCACGAGAGCAAAAGCTTGTGGCAGCGGATTATATGTCATGATAATAAATTCCTGCCATGCGGAATTATTTGAGCAGTTGCCAATAACATCAGTGTTTGAAACTGGCAATTGTTTAAACTCCCGTTTGACAGTCGTCTTCACAGATGATGTCGAATACCATTTTGAAGGACTTCATGTGAGGTGAACTGAAGGTTCCTGAGACATATAAATAAAGAGGTTCACAGGCTCAAACCTTCAAATCTTTTTGTCATTTAAGTTCTTTCGTTTCATTGAGTACTTTGGGATTGTTAGCACTTGTAAGCTCATGTAAAGCTACCACACAGATTGCGAGAGTAAGTCTTTGTTAAGCAGCTCTTTGCACGAATCAATGACAGCGTTGATCATGTCACCGTGGACTAACTCTGGCTTCTGTATTCCTTATGCCGAGTTAACAAATGCTGGTATTCTGGCATTTAACGACTTGAGGGCTTTGCGCTTTCAAAGCCTCACAAGTTACGTAAATCCTTCAAAGAGGAAGTCTACCTCAACCAAGACCTTCAATCTGGAGCTTCAAAGTACAGAATTACTGCTGCCTTTTGAGATTAATGCTAATTCTCCCCCGCCCCCCCCCCACCCCAAAATAAGCCCCGTAAAAACTAATCTAAATTTGAACGTAAATCCTCGAGCTTGATCTTTCCTTATGTCTACAGAAAGTAAACCTAAACCCAGTTAAAACATTTCTAACTTTAATCTTTCATGCAGTGCAGTAACACAGTGCAGGACTTTATCCGATCTGAGCTGTGCGCAACTTATTTTAGAACTATCTTCCAACTTCTATTTGGCTGGATCCTGTCAGCAATGAAATTGGCACTAGTATTAGACGAAACACCTTTGATCCTCTGCCGAACGACACACAGTTCTATCGAGTGTACAAATCCCCCTGATGCTAACTGATTGTTAAAGAGACTGCAGACATTACACTCAGAATTTGACGTGTTTTAAGGGGGCGATTTCTGCATCAAAAATGTTGGGGCAAACTTTTATTCGTTTATAAGCAAATAGATGAGCCAGTGACCCGATCTTGCCAAAATGCTGACTTTTATGTGTGATTTATTTGTGATGGGCACTTCCCTCTCTCTTTACACACACACACACACACACACACACACAAATGCAAATTGATGTTGATAAAGAGATTGCCTCTTTAGATTATTAGAGTTTCCATCAGCAGGCACGAATAATATGACCAATAATATCACTTGCTTGTTTCCTTGGATGCATTTCAATAACCCTGGGCTGGCCTCAAGATACCATGCCTTGTATCTCTTACCTCATGACAGTCTCGTAGGAACGCTAATGAAGTGGATTCATGCACAATCACTGCAAAGTGGTTGAAAATAGCCTTGTATAGAACAGCACGAGCATCTCATCAATTGTTAAAAAGCTCAGGGTGTGCCTGTGCGACTGTGTGGCACGATCTGGTAGAGCACAAATCTTTCACCTGTGGGAGTTGGGTTTGAACGCTATCCAGGTTGGTGGCTTAGCTTAGAAGAGTCTTCTCCCTCTGGCTGTAATGTTGGGCTTCTTTCAGAACGTTGGAAGGACTGAGACTTGATGTCTCTCGCAGAGCAGAACCAGCACTTTGGGTTCGAAATCCAGATGCTTTTCAGGTTTTTACGTGACGCATTTGTGGCAAATGTTTTCCGGGCAATCTTTCATGAAGATGCCGAGAATTAGTAATGATAATAATAATCCTTGCATTTGGTGTAGCGCCTCATCACGTCTTTGAGACGTCTCAAAACGCTTCAGAGAACACACTGTTAAGTGAATTGACTGTATATTTTGTGGGCGAAATGCAGCAGCCAATTGCACACAGCAGTGTCCCACAGACAGTCGTGGATTGAGTGATCAATTTGTTATTTCTTTGGAGGGATTATTACACGTCTGGATAGCGATATGCCAATCGACTAACAACTAGATGAACAGAGGAGTGTGGAGTAAAGAAACTTGCCCAACGTTTCGCCCGGCCCAGGAATCAAACCCAGGTCCTCTCGCTTGCGAGGCGAGTGCTCTAAACTACTACGCCTCAGGAATTGGTGAAATGTGACAGTCGGTGCCTGTCACTCTCTACCGACCTCTTGAATGGGCACCACTTCCTCTTCACAGTGTCTTCTTACGTTACACTTCATGAATTCACTGCGAGAGGAATCCTAAATGGCCTGATGTTACCGGCCGTTGTTGAATCGAGATCATCGTTAAATTAGAGAAGTGAACTGTAACCAACTGCCCACTTTACCACAGCCGAGAATCACCTTTGCGAATCAAGATCAGCAGTGACGTGAGCGAGAGCCCAGTGACTCGCAGTGACATTGTTGCTTCATGTGCGTTCAAAACCATGTTCTGAAAGGCTTTGTCTCGGAACATAAGACGTGATGATATCCTGTTAAAGTAGGGGGTAAAGGAGAGTGCCAGAAATTTTAGTTACTGTATTTCTCAGGATTTCTCCTTCGAAACATGAGTTTAATGGTAAATGAACTGTGAGCTGTCAAATTCGATATCCGGACTGTGATGAGTTACATTATCTTGGCTCAGACAGCTGTGAGACACTTGAAATAATAATAATAATAATAATCCTTGCATTTGATATAGCGCCTTATCACGTCTTTGAGCCATCTCGAAGCGCTTCACAGAATATACTGTAGAGTGAATTGAAGGTATATTTTGTGGGCGAAATGCAGCAGTCAATTACACACAGCAGTCCGAGCCGAACATCACAGACCATCCCACAAACGGTCGTGGATTGAGTGATCCATTTAACATTTTTAAAAAAAAATGATTGAAGGAATTATTACCCACGGAAAAGCAATTAACAACCGCTAAGTAAACAGCGGTGTGTGGAGCAAGGAAGCTTGCCCAACATTGCGCCCTGCTGGGAATCGTACCCAGGTCTCTCCCTTGCGAGGCGAGTGCTCTAACCACTGAGCTACAGGATTCCACGGCTTTGGCTTTGAATTGACCTTCTATGCTCGGGAGAGGGAAATTCATCCCGGATTACTACTTCTGTTCGAGAGATAGTGGTTTGTGTGTGTGTTTGTGTTTCTGTCGTTCTGTGTGTGTTTGTGCGTGTGTCTAGATCTGCGCCCATCTGAACAAGTAATCTGTGTGTTTGATATAGCGCCTTATCGCATCAAAATTTGATAAACAGTGCTTACGGGAAGCACGGCAGCCAATTTGCACACGACAGCGTCCTACTAACAGCCAGTACGTACCATCATTTTTTGGTCCTTGAAAGAAAACTCCCATCTCTTTTAGACTTATGTTATGGGATCTTTAACATCTACCTGAACAGCAGACGGGCAGAGCCTTGGCTTAACATTTGTGGTCGAAAACTGAAACTGTTCAAAACAAATATTAATTTTACCACCTTATTTTTGTTGTTGTTTTGAATACATTCCTTTGTGGGAACTGAGAGGGGAGTTACTGAGTCTGAGGCATAGACTGTACAGCTTCTAATCCTCAGAAAGAACATTATACTGTTGTTTGTGAAACACTGTGCAGGTACAGCTCTGAAGGAGGTGACCCGGGAAAAAAAAAACCATGTACAACAAATTGTGCTGCTAATTGTACTGGCTTCATTGAGATCCGTCAGATTTGATAGAGAATTTATCTTCTTGTCAGTTTTCTCAGCCAGAGGTTAATTGCTGTTAACAATCAATCTCTGTGATTGCAGATGTAAGGTAATCATTACATTGTTAATGTCCTAGAAATGACGCAATCCTTTACAATCTGCCCACATCTTTCCGTGTAATCGTCTCATGCCCACGTCTTTCACTGCTGCGTTCTTGCCACCTCTGCCCGCGCCCTTTGGAAAGCCATCCCTCGATCCCTTTGCCTTGCTCCCTCCCTTTCCTCCATCAAGGCACGGCTCGAGACCTTTTCGACCGTGCCTTCAGCCGGCCTCCTACCTCGCTGCCTTCCCTCATCCCAACCCTGACCCACCCCCCCCCCGCACCACTCTCGTGTTCTGATCCCCGAATGTCCAGCCCCTTGGGACGTCCTCCCGACATGAAAGGCGCTTTACAAATGAAATTATGTTGTTGTTGTTGTTTTCTGACTGTCTCTCTTGCCTCTGACAGCACAGTGTAAAGGTATTATGGAATTTAAATAGATAAACAGTTATAAACGGTAAAAAACAGATAAAATAAAGAATACAGGTCTGTTGGTTTAATGTGTGGCTTTCACATTAAAGTGGAATGCAATTCAGCCATCTGTCAGAATTCACGTAAGATATATTGAATTAGTTAAAATGCACGTTTTAAAATAAAATTCACCACAGAGCCTTGAGGCAAAGGACTATACATTGTGTGGATTCTTCCAATCCGTGCAGTGTCTCCCCAATGAATACAGATATAGATTTCAGTATTTTTCTCTTTTCAACCACAGAACAGTCAAACAAAGTTGTGGTTTAATGTCAATCGTAACAGTTGTTGCAATGAACTCTGGATACACTCAATCTTCTCCAAGTGGAGGTTTCTGACTGAACAAACAATGTTCAGTTCTCTTTGTACAGAGTTCCTGAGCCAAGTACAATACTTAGATGTAAAATCCTGATCAGACCTTAACGTGTTCGTCCAATTGTCCATTTTTCACTTAACTGGTCCGGTCATAAGAAGCTGACAATTCACTGGCGAGGGCTAACTCACAACAGCAACACAAGTTACAGATTAAATTGCTTTTGTGTGACCTGTGTATTTGTTCAATGTTTTTTGCTGTCTGCAAGGATGATTCATTGCATTATCCGTTGAATGGACTGGACAGAATGCTCTTTACCTCGTGCTTTATGATAATCCTGGTTTAAGATCGCATTTATGGCAAATCACTAACATCTTCTGCCATGATTTTGCGTATAATCTGCTTTCACTTCATTGATTTATCTCAGAAGCCGCCGATTGCTGAAGAGGACCGACTAGTACCAGCTGCACCCCAGGTCACTGATCTCGAGCACGTGTGATGAGCGCTGTTTCCTGTAGGTACTAGCGATAAACTACCCGTCCAGTGAACGAACAATTGAAACCGGGATTCGTTTTACAGGCTCGTGCTTATGAGGTGGGGGGAAAAAAATCAATCTTTTAGGCTGAACATTTTGTCGATTGTAGCAATTTAATAAACGATTAAAGATAAATTATTACATACGCGTGTTCACACGGTTTTCACATGTTGCATGATACAACCCCGTGTTTACACACGGCCAGCACAGGGTGTGTTCCCCACAGTTTTATAATCTGGTGAGTGCCCCAACACACGACGGGGAGTTTTTTTATTTATGGGACATTGATGTGTGCAGGCTGCCGTTTCCTCACGTCCTATTCATCTTGTATTATATCAAATACAAGGATTATTATCATAAACATCAATTGGATCTGCAAACCTGCCCGAGAAGAGAGCTCCAGAGAGCTCCAACTACACATTGTGATCAGTCTCTGATCTTCTGACAACCGCTCTTTCCGCACAGCTTCAGAAGATGCTGTGTATCCGAACATCTTTACATAACCTTCCAACTTTAATAAGGCTTCAA